GCTATAAAACTGTTATACAACATTTTTTCTGTACAAAAAGCTTCTATAAACATTATTTTGGAATCTCAAAATGTTACACATAAATTTCCCTAAGGAAAAAACTGTCATACACAAATGTATCTATGGAAAAAGTTGTATACTGAAAAACTGTTATACAGACATTTTCCTCAGAAAAAAAAAACTTATACTAAAACTTTTTGTATAGAAAAAAACTTTTATACGCAATATTTTCTGAGTAAAACATTGTTATACTTACATTTTCTATAGAATAAATGTGTTTATACTTAAATTGTTTTATAGAAAAAATGTGAAATGGAAAAGTTTTATTTAAAAAACTCTGGTATAACAGTATTTATATACACTTCAACTTCTTGAAATGCGTATAAGTTTGTCATTCCGATTGTAATTTGTACAATATGTATTGAGCGAAATCGATTTAGCGATATCTTTTTTAAAAGTCACAGATATCTTCGGATCCCCAGTTTTGGGTCATTATCTCAAAAATGGATAAAAATAAAAAAAAAATCCGTTATTAAAAATTCCCAATTTTTATATTAAAAGAAAGATTTCACAACCTCTTATATGGTAAATATAGTGTTTAGTAAAAGAACCAAGTATACGTTAAAAATATATGGGGTTATGGGGCCTTGTTACTTTTTGCTACGTCCAACAAAGTAGAGTTGACAACACTATTTTACTTTGGACATAATTTCATGCTTAACTTTAAACTAAATCCTATTTGGCTATTGTTTGCTATTGCCTTTAATAACCGATACTTATAAACAATTTTATTTATTTATAACAATTAATCTCCCTCTAACTTTATACTTCAACTTTGATATTAGGAATTTCAAATTTAATACAATTATTAATATATTTAACAATATTTTGTTTAATACTAAAAAAAAGAAGAAAATATTAATATTATAAACAAACGATATTCACAATTTTTTATACCTTAAAAACAAAAACAAACAACAAAAGATTAATAATAGTAAATAAACAAAAAAACTTATAAAACTTACTTTTTTTTGCCTAATTAACAAACAAAAACTCTATACATACTCGTATATAGTATTTAAACAATTTCACAATACATATATTTATATAAACAATTTTTACTATATAAAAACTTAAAACATTATAATAATTATTATATTATTGATGACAAAAAAAGAAAAACAAAATAATAAAAATTTAATTATAAACTTTACACTTACTCAAAATATTTTCTCAAAACAAAAACCAAAATTATTTTTAAATTTTACTCTTAAAGATTGCTTCTAAAAGATTTCTTTTTTTTTAATGAATTTTGTGTAATTATAAATTAATTTTTATTTTATAACTTTAAATCTACTATTAATGCTATATTATTATAACTATTATTTAAATTTATTATGTTTTATTTATGTTTTATTAAATTTAATTTTTTGACTTTATAAAATATTTAATTTTTTCAATTAATAACCATAATTTCATAATTTTTAGTGAAAGAGTTAGTAAAGAACTGAAAAACAACTTAATTATCAACCAATTATCAAAATATCAAAAAAAAAAAAGTTGACATTACTGTTTATTTAAAGGCAGGGATGGAAACAGCTAAATAGTTTTCACACCTTCAGTACTAGTTTTTTTTATTCAAGGAGAAACATACAGAAATATATTAAACAGTCAATATACTCAAACACCTTTTTTTCACATTTCCCCTCCCCCTTCCTCTCTTAATAATAGGAGAAACAGTATTAATTTTAATTTTCTTTGCAGTTTATTGTTAACAAGATAACACAAACTTATCCAAAAAACAAAAAAATTCCCCATCTAAAAAAAAAAAACACCCAAAATTTCCAAAAATTAAATCCTGTGTAGTTATAGTTTAAAAAATAAACTAAAACAAACCTTATAAAGCCGTAATATTTAAAATAAACAAATGAAAAATGTTTAATAAATCTTAAAAAATGCATAAAAAAACAAATTTGCAATTACAAGTCAATAATAATAATAATAATAATAATAATAATAATAATAATAATAATAATAATACAAGAAAATTATAAATATTAAAAAACAAACAAAACACCCAAGCAATCAAAGAAAATTTGCAAAAACTCACACACAATACTTACACAAAAAAAAATACTCTAAAAAGAAAACAAAACAAAAAAATTAAAATTAAATATATAATTAAAGCAAAAAAAAAAAGAAAATTATATATAAAAAATAAAGAAATGAAGAAATGTTAAAACTAAAAACAAAAAACTTTTATTAAAACAAAATCTTAAAAATAAAAATAAATTAAAAGAAAAAAAATAAGACACAGCAGTTGGCAGCAGTCTAAACGGGATAAAATTGTCAGCAGGATCAAAAATCATACCGAAGAAAGAATTTTGATAAGTGAGGAAACTGAATTTTGCAACAAATCAAGAGGGTAAGTGAAAATTGTTATTTACTATAATATAATCATGTTTCTAATTTTAAAAAATTATAAAAAATATGTTAAAATTGTGATTTTACAAAGTATTTCATGTTTGTGCCTAATAACGGTTTGCGTTTAAAAACATCACATTTGACTACACTGTTTTACAACTAACATTCGATAGTGATGCCATTTTTAAAATGACACTCCTCCTCTATTAAGTTACTAGTGTTGCTGTAGTGCTTTATTTCTTACTAACACAATTTTAAATGTGAAATAGAGAGATATAATAGATAGATAGGATAGATAGATAGATAGATAGATAGATAGATAGATAGATAGATAGATAGATAGATGATAGCTCGATAGATCGAGATAGATCTATAGCTAGATGATCGTCGCTCGATAGATCGCTCGCTCGATGCTCTCGATCTAGCTCGCTCGCTCTCTCGCTCGCTCGCTAGCTCGCTCGCTCGCTCGCTCGCTCGCTCGCTCGCTCGCTCCTCGCTCGCTGCTCGCTCGCTCGCTCGCTCGCTGCTCTGCTCGCTCGCTAGCTCGCTCGCTCGCTCGCTCGCTCGATCGCTGCTCGCTCGCTCGCTCGCTCGCTCGCTCGCTCGCTCGCTCGCTCCTCGCTCGCTCGCCGCTCCTCGCTCGCTCGCTCGCTCGCTCGCTCGCTCGCTCGCTCTCGCTCGCTCGCTCTCTCGCTCGCTCGCTACGCTCGCTCGCTCGCTCGCTCGCTCGCTCGCTCGCTCGCTCGCTCGCTCGCTCGCTCGCTCGCTCGCTCGCTCGCTCGCTCCTCGCTCGCTCGCTGCTCGCTCGCTCGCTCGCTCGCTCGCTCGCTCGCTCGCTCCTCGCTCGCTCGCTCGCTCTCTCGCTCGCGCGCTCGCTCGCTCGCTCGCTCGCTCGCTCGCTCGCTCGCTCTCGCTCGCTCGCTCGCTCGCTCGCTCTCTCGCTGCTCGCTCGCTCGCTCGCTCGCTCGCTCGCTCGCTCGCTCGCTCCTCGCTCGCTCGCTCGCTCGCTCGCTCGCTCGCTCGCTCGCCCGCTCGCCCGCTCTCTCGCTCTCGCTCGCTCGCTCGCTCGCTCGCTCGCTCGCTCGCTCTCGCTCGCTCGCTCGCCCGCTCGCTCGCGCTCGCTCGCTCGCTCGCTCGCTCGCTCGCTCGCTCGCTCGCTCGCTCGCTCGCTCGCTCGCTCCTCGCTCGCTCGCTCGCTCGCTCGCTCGCTCGCTGCTCGCTCGCTCGCTCGCTCGCTCGCTCGCTCGCTCGCTCGCTCGCTCGCTCGCTCGCTCGCTCGCTCGCTCGCTCGCTCGCTCGCTCGCTCGCGCTCGCTCGCTCGCTCGCTGCTCGCTCGCTCGCTCGCTCGCTCGCTCGCTCGCTCGCTCGCTCTCGCCTCGCTCCCGCTCTTGTCTCGCTCGCGCTCCTCGCTCACTTCGTCGCTCGCTGCTCGCTCGCTGCTCCTCTGCTCCTCGTCGTGCTCCTCTCGTCGCTCGTCGCTCGCTCGCTCGCTGCGCTGCTCTCTCGTCTAGCTCGCCCCGGTCGTCCGTCCCATCATTCGATCACCCTTCCGTCGCAGCCGTGTGCGATAAGTCGGCCCCAGAGTCCCTAGTGGAAAACGATCCTTTAGCCTTTCAAGAATCACTTAGTTTATATCAAAATTTCATTTTTATATGGAAATCTAAAATTTCATTGAAAATAAAATACAATTAAGAAAATAATAAAAAACTCTAATTACTACCAAATTCCTAATGTGATTCTTTAAATAAGCGTCTAATTAGAAAATATCAAAAGTCTGCAATCACTTAAGTTTTCCATAAAAATCAAACTTTTGTTACGTAAAAACGAAAATTTTCATTATTTGTTAAATAAGTTTTCAAATAAAGAAACAACTAAAAACTACAATTTTCAATCTCAGTAGGATTTTTTTGGGATTAATTCGATTTTCTGTGTTAGAAACTTGTAAAGCATTTACATTTTTCTTTTTGAAACTTACAAGTTTTGAAAAATTTAAAAATAAAATTATTTCTAGTTTATTTTAATATCGTCAGATTTGCAGGTTCTATTTTTTAAAAATACTCCGAAAAATAAGAAAACAAATTAAATTTTATAAGTGGAAACGATTTATGGAACGATAATTCTCACATTTTTTACCATTCTGAAAAACAACGTTTATGGAGAACAGTTTTATTAGAAACTTTCTTAAATTTTATATGTGGGAATGATTTATGGAACGATAGTTCTCCGATTTTTAACCATTCTGAAAAATAATGTTTATGAAGAACAGTTCTGTTATAAACTTAGTCTGGAGGTAGAAAATTGACAAGATTTGTGTTAAAATCATAACATATTGTAAATCAAAACATTTTTTAGTTTTTCTTAATAATAAACATCACTTTATTTTATAAATTATTTAAAATTCGCACTATTTACATAAAATTAAAACTAAACTCTTACTTAATAGAACTTAACGCTAATAAATGCTCTTAAATACTTTAGTTAACTGATATCTTTGGTTAAATTTACGTTAAAATTTTAATTACTCCTTCCCTTATTCCGATCTTGGTCTATCCTGCACATAATATCTTCATCCTCACTCTCGCCATCACTTTCATCATTTTCCGACAGGAATTGTTTATCCTCCTGACTCAACGTTTGAATACCACTACTATTATTGTTATTATTATTTGTTATATGATTTGATTTAATAACACTACGTTGATTGTTATGTGCCTGTGCTGTAGTGTGTAAATAGTGGGAAGAACGTTTTGCCTGATTAGCACGACGCCATTTAGCTCGACGATTTTGAAACCATGTTTTCACTTGACGATCGGTTAGCTTAAGTTGTAGAGCCAAATGTCTACGTTCTTCGGGCGATAGATATTTGAAGGAGTTAAAACGATTTTCGAGATTTTTAGTTTGTTGTGAGGTAAAACGTATTTGTCCACCTTTACGTTTTACACCAAAACCAGGCATATAGAAACCGGGATAGGCGGCATTACAGTATAGGGCAGCAGCGGCTGAGGCATTTGTCGGATAGGCTGGAAATATAAGAAAAACAAGAAAAATATACATTAAATCTTTATAAAAAATAATTTTGAGTAATTAGTTTTATTAATTTAAGTATTATTTTTATATAAATATGATATGTTTAATCATTTCTTTAAATTTGCGTAAATTTCTTATAAAAATCTTGCTTGTTATCACTAAAACTCCTTTTTCTATTTACTAAATAACAAAAAGTACTTTAAATTGCAACCATGCTTTTTTTACCCAATGTTGTTTATCTAATGATGACATTTGATTGGTTATTATTCTTGAATATACATACACACGCCCCCTTTAAAATAAACAGCTAAAGAGAGATAGAGAATGAGTTAAGCATAAACAAGTGGGTTTCTTTATATTGCTTTATTAAAATAATAAAAGAGTGAGGGAGATAGAGAGAACAAAAACAATTGATATTGTTGCCAATACTGATGTTTATTGGTTTATTAATGAAAAGAAACACTTGAAATAATGGCTTATTAAAATACCAAAATAAAATAGAAATAGAAAATTATTATTGGTAAATTGATATTTCTTTCAATATATAACACATGACTGTCTAAACATTTAATTATTTAATTTATTATGCGGGAATTTGTGCGTGTGTTTTTTTTTTCTGCTATAGATATGTATTAACTGTCATAATGTTAAATTAAATTTATTATCAATTAATGATGTTTAATATAAATTTAAATGCTATTTTAATAAAAGTTATTCCCCATTTTTGTGTAGATAACAATTTGCAATGAGTTGCCTGTTTTTAATAAATTTTTTTTAATAATTATTTAAAATTAAGTTAATTTAGTTATTATCATTAATAATGTGTTTTTAACACCTTTTCTGTGTTATCTATTTTTTTACGACGAAAATGTTATCATTTTAATGGACATAAACCAATGACTATTAATCGTTTTTAATAACAGTTTTTTTGTTAATTAAATACTTTTGTTTTATTAATTTAAACGTTTAATCGTCATTTCCTTGTTTGTGAAGATAAAATTTTTTGAAATTGCATTAATTGTGGACTCTGTTTGCTGTATGTAATTTGTCGAAAAATAATCGATTATTTAGGAATTTAAAAAGAAATTCTTTTAGAATTAACAATGATTATGCAATTTGTCAAAAATTCCCATAATTTTGAACAAATTTTGAAGATTTTTAGTTAAATTTTTAAGAATTTCTATGCTTATTTGTTTTACAATAGATGACATTGCAATTACTCAGCTTTGTTTACATTCTCTTCCTCTGAGTTACAATAACAAATTTATTGTTTACATTGCGGTTTATAAAAGGGTATTGCCATATGTAAATAATAACGCTGCAATTTGTATATTTTTTTAAACTAATTTATAAAATTTATTAATTTTTAAATAAAAATTGCATTAGTTAGTAGTTATCTCTAAAAGAATCATTTTCAAGGTGTTAAAAACTTATTTAAATAATGAAAATATCAAATTACAAAACATAGGTTTATAACAAAACATTTATGTATTTCATTATTTTCAAGTGTGAACACAATAAAACCACAAATAAACAAACATAATTGTAACACAAAAAAAGCACCTTTAATTTTGTGAATTTCCGTTATCATTAAAATGCATTTTATGTAACATAAACATAGGTACTCGTAACAATATTTGTTTGATTCTATTGCATTTAAAGTAAATAATTTGTGTTAATCACATTGTAAAATGATTGATTAATGCGGGATAATAACAGTTATAATGATTACAAACAAATAAACGTTAATATTTGTCTATAGACAACTAAATAAACAAATCAAAACTTGAAATCGCTGGAAAATAATCAAGTGATGGCGCCAATGGATAAACGCCATTTAAAAACTTCAACAAAAAAACACGTCTGATAAACAATGAATGCATTATTTTGGATTTTCTTCTTTGTTAATAAAAGGGGGGCGACCTAGCCGATAAAAAAAAAAGAAATCGAAAGCAACTAATAACAAGACAAAAGGTAAATAATTGTTTTACAAAAATGTGTTATAGATTTTTATCAAATGTTATTGTGGTAATACTAAATATATTAATATATCTGGCATCACTATATTAAAAAAACAAACTTGACTTAAAACCAGTGTTGTCAAACAAGTTTTTTAAAGCTTAAATGTAAACAAAGGTTTGCAAATAGCGTTAAGGCCCAAATAGACTACACAAGCGGCTTGACAAACATTCCAATATATTACGTTTGTGCAAGCCTGTTGCGTAGTGTATGAGAGTGTTTCGCGTTTGTACAAATGCTTGCTGTTTGTTTGTATAAAATTTTAAAAAAATTTGATTTTTACAAAAACATATTGAATTTTTTTCAAACCGTTTGAAATTGTTTATATTTATTAATAACAAATTTTTTACAAAATTTACATTTCTAAGCAAAATTGTCATCTGTATCTTTGCAAGTCCACAAAAACGTGAAAAAAGTATGTTTGATAAGCCGCTTGCGTAGTCTATTTGGGCCTTAAAGGCCCATCTATCTATCTATCTATCTATCTATCTATCTATCTATCTATCTATCTATCTATCTATCTATCTATCTATCTATCTATCTATCTATCTATCTATCTATCTATCTATCTATCTATCTATCTACCTATCTATCTATCTATCTATCTATCTATCTATCTATCTATCTATCTATCTATCTATCTATCTATCTATCTATCTATCTATCTATCTATCTATCTATCTATCTATCTATCTATCTATCTATCTATCTATCTATCTATCTATCTATCTATCTATCTATCTATCTATCTATCTATCTATCTATCTATCTATCTATCTATCTATCTATCTATCTATCTATCTACCTATTTGTCTATCTATCTATCTATCTATCTATCTATCTATCTATCTATCTATCTATCTATCTATCTATCTATCTATCTATCTATCTATCTATCTATCTATCTATCTATCTATCTATCTATCTATCTATCTATCTATCTATCTATCTATCTATCTATCTATCTATCTATCTATCTATCTATCTATCTATCTATCTATCTATCTATCTATCTATCTATCTATCTATCTATCTATCTATCTATCTATCTATCTATCTATCTATCTATCTATCTATCTATCTATCTATCTATCTATCTATCTATCTATCTATCTATCTATCTATCTATCTATCTATCTATCTATCTATCTATCTATCTATCTATCTATCTATCTATCTATCTATCTATCTATCTATCTATCTATCTATCTATCTATCTATCTATCTATCTATCTATCTATCTATCTATCTATCTATCTATCTTATCTATCTATCTATCTATCTATCTATCTATCTATCTATCTATCTATCTATCTATCTATCTATCTATCTATCTATCTATCTATCTATCTATCTATCTATCTATCTATCTATCTATCTATCTATCTATCTATCTATCTATCTATCTATCTATCTATCTATCTATCTATCTATCTATCTATCTATCTATCTATCTATCTATCTATCTATCTATCTATCTATCTATCTATCTATCTATCTATCTATCTATCTATCTATCTATCTATCTATCTATCTATCTATCTATCTATCTATCTATCTATCTATCTATCTATCTATCTATCTATCTATCTATCTATCTATCTATCTATCTATCTATCTATCTATCTATCTATCTATCTATCTATCTATCTATCTATCTATCTATCTATCTATCTATCTATCTATCTATCTATCTATCTATCTATCTATCTATCTATCTATCTATCTATCTATCTATCTATCTATCTATCTATCTATCTATCTATCTATCTATCTATCTATCTATCTATCTATCTATCTATCTATCTAGATAGATAGATAGATAGATATCTCTCGGGGGAGTTTTCCAGATTTTTCCTACCGAGCGCGTCCCCGGGTGGCGGATAGGGGGTGGTGATGGACCATCTGTCCTCTCCCAGCTTTAATTTCACTTAAGCTGAGGGAGGGCAGATTGTCCACCACCTGGGAATATTATATTCCCCGCGGACCAAAAAACTGAAAAAAAAAAAAAAAAAAAAAAAAAAAACAAATATGGAAAATAAAAATAAAAAGATAAAAGTTACGGTGCAGGGCCTAAATAACCCAGTACCGGCGGCAAGTGTTGATCTACTCGCGAGTCACGTGTCGTCGTCATCCTGCAATCGTGAGCAGAATACTACTACGGAGGTGGGTACCTTGGCCTCCGTGGCGGACAATGCGTCAAGTGTACAGCATGCCGCTGGCAAAAATATAGGGGTGAAAGAGAAGGATGTACTCGGAGAGAGCTCTAAGCTACCTCAGCCTTTAAATATAGGTGAGGGTTCCGACTCTGAATCCTCAGATGATAATAATAATAATACCATTATAGCAAATCCCAAAAAGGATGAAGTAGAGCAAATGGTGAAAGAGGTGAGTGATAGCATAGCTAAACTACCTATTACTAAGAAAAGACTTTCTGGAGCACAGAGGAGGAAGTTGAAAAAGATGCTTCAGGAAATCATAGTTAGTCAATCCCACGACACTCCAAAGGAATCGGACTCTCTCACAAGATCTGAGGCAAAAAGGATCAGGTCACCCGAGGAGTTGACAACTGAGAATAAGCCTAAGAAGAAAAAGAGCTCCCCGTCTTCTAATACACAGTCGAAGCCAAGCCATACTTCACTCAAAGGAATCTCAAGTGAGAATCCTGCGAGTAAGGGTGACAACGCCAAGCCAGATATTCCGAAGACGAACACGTCGGCGAAATCAACCTCGAAGGTAAGGGAATCTCAAAAGAAGCCCCGAAAAACGAGGAAGGAGAAGCTAGACGGAGGAAAAGGTAAAGAGCCGCCATCTTACGCCAAAGTTGCCAGAAGTAGGCACCGGGACGATCTCTGCTATGCAGTTTACGATGCCGGTAATCCGACAGGCAAAATTCCAATAGACCAACAGAGTAAAATAGAAGACCTGGTCAACAATAAGATAGTGGACCATGCAATAGCTTCAAAGGGCAAACAACCAATAGAGAGCGAGAGCTGCGAGTTCAGCATGGGCGTGATGTTGATGAGGTTGGCATCTCACCAATGTGTTAGCACCCTAAAGAACTTGGTGGAAAGTATCCCTCCTCCCTGGGACGGCGCTAGGCTGGGACTGGCAAAGAAGAGCGAGCTTCCGGTGCTCCTAAAGTCCACTGTCTACATAAAAGGATGGGGCAGTAAACTGGCTAATGAACGTATACTGGAAATTCTTGGAGGTCAAAATGCTGAGCTGGCCGTGGAAAAATGGGATGTCTTTTACAGGAAAGAAGAACCTGAGGGAACTTTATTTGTAATAGGTATCGACCAGAAATCCATGGCTAGTCTTGCCAAGAATAAAGGTAGGGCTTACTTCGCCTCTAAATCTGTCATATTCAAAATTGGGAAGGTGCCGATTGGAAGGGCTGTTACAACAAGCCTCGAAAAGGACACTAAAAAACCTAAGACCACAGTATCCACTACTGATAACGTTGAGGAGTCAAATCCTAAAATCGAGGAATTTACCATTAACTCGCCAGAAGAAAGTGTAGTTGCCCTTTCCAAAATTGGGAAGGCGCCGATTGAAAGGGCTGTCAAAACCGGCCCCGACAAGGACACTAAAACACCTAAGACAGTACCCAAAGCATCATTAGCAAGTACTAGCAATGTTGAGGAGTCAAATCCTAAAAGCGAGGAGGAAATCACTCACCCGCCAGAAGACAGAACAGCAATGCTCTCCAGAATTGGGAATGTGTCTATTAAAAATACTGCTATTCCTATGCCTGATAAGGACACCGCAGTGCCATCAACAGTACTCACTGCATTAATAGCCACTTCAGGCTATCCGGAGGAGTCAAATCCAAAGAGCGAGGAGGTGACCACCAACTCGCTGGAAGACAGTTTAATGGATGACCATGATTGATGATTAAAAAAATTCCTATCCAAAACTCATGTCCAACCGGAATCTATGATCGATGACACGGGCAGGAGGCTTGAGGATATGGAGGAGACAATGAAACTCCTAATGGATTCTCATTTCCCACCCGGTATATCGAATAACATAGATGAACCGATATTGGAGGAAGGGGAGGGTAACACGGAAATAGTTATTACAACTGACATGGTTAAAGGGGCAATCAAGAGCTTTGCTCCCTATAAAGCTGCAGGGCCGGATGGAATTTTCCCGGCACTTTTGCAGATGGAGGCGGGACTGGTTTCCGTACATCTGTCACAGATATTCACTGCATGCTTAAAATTGGCATATACCCCAGTTAAATGGCAGGATGCAAGGGTAATATTTATACCCAAACCAGGGAAACCTAGCTATGCGACACCTAAGTCCTATCGACCGATAAGTCTTACGTCCTTCCTACTTAAAACCTTGGAACGGATAGTCGATAGCATGGTTAAAAGCAGCATACCATACAATGACCTTAAATATAAGCAGCATGCTTATGTAAAGGGACGATCGGTGGAAACCGCTTTAAATGAAGTTGTCCACTACATAAGTGAATCTTTCGATAGCAAACTGTATACACTGGCAGTATGCATTGACATCGAAGGCGCTTTCAATAACGTGCACACTGATACCCTTATCCAATCCCTAGACCAGTTTTATGTTGACCGGGTGCTCCGTAACTGGATCAACTACATGCTAAGGAACAGATGGATAAGCTGCGAGATGTACGATATAACTATCAGGAAAAAGGTATTTCGCGGTATACCACAGGGTGGCATTTTGTCACCTTTACTCTGGGTCACCACGATTAATAGCCTCCTAAGGACCCTAACCGAGAAAGGACTTAGACCTGTCTGCTATGCAGACGATGTCGTAATACTTTTAAAGGGAAAGGATCCAAATTACTTGTGTAGAAGAGCTGAGGAGGCTCTGAATACGGCCTTGAGCTGGGCTCAACCGAGAGGCCTCAATGTTAACCCGGCGAAGACGGAAATCTGTCTTTTCACAAGAAAGACAAAAATTTCTACATATACTGAACCTTGCTTCTTGGGCAAGAAGATACCGGTGACAAACAAAGTTAAGTACTTAGGTGTAATACTTGACCGGAAATTAAAATGGAGACACCACATAGAGGATAGGATCAACAAGGCACATCGGTGCTGGGCGATATGTAGGAGAACCATAGGCATGAAATGGGGTCTTAGTCCTACTATGACAAATTGGCTTTATAAAAGTGTAATTAGACCAATTCTAGCTTATGCTTCAATAATCTGGTGGACTGCTTTGGACAAAAAGTGTAATATCAAACTACTACAGGGAGTTCAGCGTACATGCTGCTTGGGTGTAAGTGGTGCCATGTGTACTACTTCAACCAAGGCTCTGGAAACGTTGCTAGATATTCCACCCATTGAAACATATATAAGATATGAGGCGGCGCTTACAGCCGAACGGCTCTTTACTTTAGGCGATCTGGCCAAAAACGGTTATAGGACACGTCATCAATGTATACTGGACACATTGGAAGGTTATACACATTCATCGGACGTGCCTGATCGCATACCAGACACTGAATATGTCGGAAACTTTGAAACGCTAATCCCAGATAGAATGTCTTGGTCAAGCGGAACATTAGAGCAAATACCAGTAGGAATCCGTTGCTACACGGATGGCTCTAAATTAGGGGACAAAGTGGGTCTGGGGTTCTATATTGAAGACCCAGAAACAGAAATATACCACCGTTTACCTAATCATAACACAAGCTTCCAGGCAGAAGTACGAGCAATAACGGAATGTGTAAATTGGATTAGAATAAATATGGCGCCCACAGGGCTTAATATATTTACCGACAGCCAGAAGGCAATTTGTGCGATATCAGGTGATAGAATTAAATCTAAGACCGTATTGGATTGTAAGAAAGCTTTAACTGAATACTCTCCCAGAGGTAAGGTTCACATCATATGGGTACCAGGCCACTCGGGAGTAGTCGGCAACGAAAGGGCGAATGTAATAGCTTTAAAGGGAAGGGAGCTCGATGTAGTTAACCTGACAAACGCAAAACCATTCGACGCAACAAAAGCTGAATTAAAAATATGGATGAGAGAATCCCATAAGGCCTCTTGGAATAATGAAACGGTGGGTAGAACCACAAAGATTCTATGGGGTGACCCTGATGAGAGCAAGACGAGAAATCTTCTCAAAATGAGCAAGTCTGAGGTTAGTATGATGGTACGTATTCTCAGTGGACACACAGGATTACGAGCACATCTATACAAAATTGGACGTGCGAATTCAGACGAATGTAGAGCATGTGGAGAGGACAGTGAAACTCTGGAGCACTTTCTTTGCCATTGTCAGGCATTCGTCGAAGTTAGATCCAAGTATCTTGGAAGTGATGTTATTCCAGAAATAACATTCTTAACCAACACCGATTGGAAGATTCTTAGGAATTACGTCCAGGAAACTGAGTTTCTGAACATGGAAAAATAATACATTTAGTGAACATTTTTTTTTTTTTTTTTTTTTTTTTTTTTTTTCTTGAATTGGAGCGCACAACAGGCCCGATAGTGGCCTAGGTGTATTTCTTCGGATTTGATGTAGTATACATCCTCCTATCAACCTACCTACCTACCTAACTATCTATCTATCTATCTATCTATCTATCTATCTTTCTTTCTATCTATCTATCTATCTATCTATCTATCTATCTATCTATCTATCTATCTATCTATCTATCTATCTATCTATCTTTCTATCTATCTATCTATCTATCTATCTATCTATCTATCTTTCTATCTATCTATCTATCTATCTATCTATCTATCTATCTATCTATCTATCTATCTATCTATCTAAGAAGTTTTAAACATTTCCTTTATTTACTTTAAGTACGGACTTCAAAATCGTATTTTTATTTAAAAATTTTTAACTTTAGCTTGTATTTTGCTGTAATTATACGATTTTAATAAAATTTTAACAAATCTACCTAACCGGAAGTAATTGTCGACTTATCTGTAGCGATTAGTAATAAAACCATAAACAGATTGATTAAAAATTAGTGATTTACTTAATTTACTTTTGAAAAAAAAAACTGACTCACTCACCTTCACAATCCATAAATTGATTATAAGGAGGTTCACAATAAACCGACGGAGTTCCACGAGCCGCCACCGCCGTTGAAACATTAGCCATTGCGGCGGCAGCTGCTGCAGCCTGAAAATGAGGCATTAAAAATGCTGAATTTTTCTGTAAATTTAAGACTTGTTGATAAAATAAGGAGGCCGTAGGATCATAAACATGATCATAATGTAGAGCAGGAGCAGCGGCGGCTGTTGCATGTTGTGGTAAAGTACTAGCTAAAGTTAATGAGGAGGGCGAGTTATTGTTGTGGTTGGCTGTTTTTAAAGTGAGATTTTTAAAAGCGGTATATTGTTCAAAATCCGGGGTACGTGTTAGACTGGTAGATGTAACTGTATTATCCAAATTGGGTGAAGGTAAAGATGTTGTTGTTAAACTGGGTGAGGGTATTTGTATATGTGTAGCCGGATTCAAGTTAGTATCTTTAGATGTTTTTTGTTCTAAAATATTTTCTATAGAGAAAGAGGATTTATTGGATTTTAAGGTATCCATTTTATTTGCTTTAATTATAGTATTTTTTTCTTATTAATTAATTGCACTATTTTATTATATGATTATTTTCCTCTAATTGTTCACTTTTGAGACCTTAACAGTTGTATGGTCTAATTGTTACTAAAAATCTGATTTTTTCCAATAATGAAATTATTATTATTATTATTGTTTCAATACAATTAATCAAATCAATTTGAAATATGTTTGCAGGTAATTGATATCTTTATTAATAGCATTATGAAGTGTACTAATAGGAACCATAAAAAATAATAATTTGAAACCTACTTACCTATACAACTATACAAAATAAATAAACGTGTAATGATACTAAATGTTCATGATAATAATTATGAATGTCTAAATAATTTACCAAAAAGAATTTTCAGAAATTTAGTTTTTGATAACACTGTTTCCAAAAGTTTTTTTTTTCATTAGAATGCTTTTCAGATATTTTGTTGTAGTATAAAATGTTATTATAGGTATGTAATGGTTTATTCATACATACTTACCTTTTCATAATGACCTTTTCAATTGAACGTTTTTGTAAGCAACAACAACAATGCTGTTAAACATCTTTGTTTACCTTATGACGAAAACATATTCCTATATCTGACTTAGATCTTTAACAGTCATTTCACTATTTTAGCGTTTTTAGTTAGTAAAATTGAAATTTTTTAATTGAAAAGGAAACTGTGTAATCTAACATGCCAATACATTGCTCTAACAATTTAACGTATACATTTACTATATTCCTACATAACACTATACAGATACATACATATTCTAAATGTTCACATACTCATATTTGTCGTATTAGACGACTATTTAACTCTACGATAACAACAACTGACGATCAAAAATTACTGCTGTTATTTCTGCTACTGACTGTCGTCCAATGATATTAGATAATAAAACATATTTGTTTAGATAATGTCTGAAAGCAGGTTTCGTTTTTACTCCACCAAAAGGGTTGGTGATTGAGGTTTATGCGATTTTTCGTATATAAAAACATTTTGATAACGCCCTTCGACGAACCATTTTTTAACTAAACTGTTATATATTTTCTTTAGAAAATCCCTTTTTTAGGTTCCTAATGTTTTTTTTATTCTGCTTAATTTATAACACTCTCAATTTTTTGTTTATGACGATTTTTTTTCTATTTGCCGCCCCATTGCCTTTATTTTATGAGTATTTTTTCAGTTTTGATTTCTTTAAAGGGTTTTAGCGGTATTTTCGGCTTTGATCAAATAGCATTGACTACTACTATTTACTACTTACTACTCACTGCTAATCATTTTACTGTTATCTGGCAGTGTTGTCTTTATACAGTAGCAAATGTTTTAAGGTGTTATATTAACTGATAAACGAATTTGTTGAAATTTTATAATAATCAAATTAATGGTTAAAATAATTAAGAGAAATTAAATTATAGTTTAAAGAATAACTTTTACATTAACAAAAATGTAAAATTAAGAAATTGCACATCTTAAATTTTGTATTGTTTTAAGGAAAATTTGTAGTGATAACTGATTTTTATTATTTTCCTAATTAAACGCTTATACAGACAATTTTTTCTTTTAAAAATTCACCAATTTTGTTGATGACAGTTGGTTTTTCATATTTAAACCTCCAGACTGTGAGACTAGCCCCACTAGCCATAGTATTCAATCGATGTACCATATATTATATTAGGTGATCTAATTTAGATCTCAATTTAGAAGAAAAATATTAAATTTTTGTATTTTTCAAATAAAAATTGCACTGTGCCCATTTTACATTTACTTCAGGCATGGAAAATTTAAATTTTAAAATAGTACTAACGTGTAACAAAAAGTGTACTTTTTTAGGTTTTAAAGTACCAAACTAATTTTACGCTATAATATACATAGACTAGGCTATAGACTAGACTATAAACTAGACTATAGACTAGACTATAGACTAGACTATAGACTAGACTATAGACTAGACTATAGACTAGACTATAGACTAGACTATAGACTAGACTATAGACTAGACTATAGACTAGACTATAGACTAGACTATAGACTAGACTACAGACTAGACTATAGACTAGACTACAGACTAGACTACAGACTAGACTACAGACTAGACTATAGACTAGATTATAGACTAGACTATAGACTAGACTATAGACTAGACTATAGACTAGACTATAGACTAGACTATAGACTAGACTATAGACTAGACTATAGACTAGACTATAGACTAGACTATAGACTAGACTATAGACTAGACTATAGACTAGACTATAGACTAGACTATAGACTAGACTATAGACTAGACTATAGACTAGACTATAGACTAGACTATAGACTAGACTATAGACTAGACTATAGACTAGACTATAGACTAGACTATAGACTAGACTATAGACTAGACTATAGACTAGACTATAGACTAGACTAGACTAGACTATAGACTAGACTATAGACTAGACTATAGACTAGACTATAGACTAGACTATAGACTAGACTATAGACTAGACTATAGACTAGACTATAGACTAGACTATAGACTAGACTATAGACTAGACTATAGACTAGACTAGACTATAGACTAGACTATAGACTAGACTATAGACTAGACTATAGACTAGACTATAGACTAGACTATAGACTAGACTATAGACTAGACTATAGACTAGACTATAGACTAGACTATAGACTAGACTATAGACTAGACTATAGACTAGACTATAGACTATAGACTAGACTAGACTAGACTAGACTAGACTAGACTAGACTATAGACTAGACTATAGACTAGACTATAGACTAGACTATAGACTAGACTACAGATTAGACTATAGACTAGACTATAGACTAGACTATAGACTAGACTATAGACTAGACTATAGACTAGACTATAGACTAGACTATAGACTAGACTATAGACTAGACTATAGACTAGACTATAGACTAGACTATAGACTAGACTAGACTATAGACTAGACTATAGACTAGACTATAGACTAGACTATAGACTAGACTATAGACTAGACTATAGACTAGACTATAGACTAGACTATACTATAGACTAGATTATCTAATTGGACGCCATTGGATAATTAGGTTCTTCTTATGGAAATCAAATTTTAAATGATCCTATGAAAATAGTTTTTTTTTATATTCTCATTGTTGTCAGTCCTCCATTTTATTAAATATTTTGATTTTAGTACTTTTTTTTAATCAATATGATTCTCATACTCGTGTATTTGATTCCACAATACATATCATATAAATAATGATATCATTATCTATTGGTTAAAGCCTACAATGATCGATTACTTTTGTTGTGTCTCATTTTGAAAGGGAGGGAGAGTTGTTTAACATTAGACTTCAAATATATATATATTTGATAATATAGTTTCTTTCATCATTGGAGTATTGAAATATTGTTGTACTAACAAATAATAATAATTGTTATTTTTCATTATGTGAAATTGTTTAAAACATTAACAAAACTAAATTCACATGTCTGCGATTTCCCCTTTCGTAAATAATGTTGTTTATCAATTTCGTTTCCATATTTTTAGGTGAATTGCTAAATTTATGCTTAAATTTTAAGTAATATCACATTATTTGTCTTTTGTTTTTGTTATGATAACTAGACATTAATGCATTATGAGTGATTGATTTGTTATGATTTTTATGACAATTGATAGAAAAAAATTAAGTTCATGATTGTAGGAAAATTAATAAAATTCAATCAATATTTTAAATTAAAAGTCGAATAAGTCGAATTTGGTAAATTACCTATTTTTAATTTTTCATATTTTTTTTATTCAGTAATTCCAAATCATTAACATTGCTTAGATAAAAAAATACCGTTAGTGTAAAAAACAATGTTACCAGCTTAGCTTTATTTTATATTAAGCTTTAGTGTTACCATATTACTAAATTTAAAAATTTAAGTAAAAATAAAAATTTTAAGTAAAATTAACAAAAATATATTTTACATTTAATACTTATTAATTTTTATTAAATATTTAAAATTTTACAACAATTCTCAAACATTTTATGAACAATTAAATTGATAACCCTCTAAACATGTACAATTTGGCAAAGTACAACGTGTAGCGAGAGGCGGTAGACTAGCGTTAGGAGGTAAAGCTGGTGCCAAATGCCCCTGAAAAGTAATGGGAAATGTAAGGGGCACAAACCATTTGGGATAAGCAGTAGCGGTGGAACATAACGAACTGCTAAGGGTTAAAGGTTTGGGATGCTGTGAAGGAAAGAAAAATAATATTTCAAAATAAATCTAAAATTGCTTAAATATACAGTACTGTTTAAAACTTAAATAACTGTCTATGTAAATTGATTTCTTAAAAAATGAACTACAAAATCTCAACTAATCAGCCTACAGTCTAATATATAGTATAGTGTATAATCTAGTCTATAGCTTTTTTTTTAATTTTTTGAAAGCTATTTTAAAAACTTACCATTCCTGAACTATAAACCGGTTTAAAAGCACTTTTCATAACATTATTTCCACTGTTCGTTAATGGCTCTACATCAACTTCTATATCTTCTCTATGATCCTTATAGGATGAGGAAATATTTTCAATAGCTTTAACCAAATCAGAATCACATCTTTTTAAAACTAATTCCAAAACTGCGCGTTTTCTTTGAGGAAATAATTGAGCCAACATATCAATGGCATTCTGTGAAACGTTAGCAGTAGAGGAAGTAGTTAGAGTAGTAGATGAAGCACAACTTGTGCTGGAGGCATTATTAGCGGTGATGGTTTCTACTTTAGAACTTTTCTGCAAAGATTCTGTTTGTTTACTGGGTAAACTTAAATCTTCAACAGTTTCTTGTTGTATTGGATTTGAGGCCTTGTTTGCCTGTTTAATGTCCTGCAGATTTTCCGCCAAATCAAATATATTGCCAGGAGGCAGACTGTCCATTTGTTGGCCAGTTTTAGTGGCCACTAAACGCAGAGCAATGGCATCTTCTACAGCCTGTTGACGCTTAAGGGCTACCTAGATATAAAAAGAAGAGAAAACATATTATTTACTTACGAATTTAGTTAAATGTAAACAATAGATTGAAATTAATATGCCTGACATGGCTTGACATAAACTTTAACATATTTTCTATTAGAGAAGAAGTGGTGGGGTGTTAAAAATGTCTGGTTTTCTAGCCTTTTTTCTAGTTGATAGATAAATATATATTTATTAGTTAAATCTAAGGGGAGTTTAGTTTAGTTATTAAAGTAACCTGACCTGTGAACTTTTTTTCTTGAGTTTTGTTTTTATTTGTGCAGGAATGTTAGACAGTTTTTGAAACACTTGTGCAAACATTTGAAACAAATATTTCTATTTAACTTGTTGTTGTTGTATAAAATGATATCTAGTGGTTGATGTTCTATGATTTTTGGTAGTCATCATCATCACTTTTTGTTTATTTTGGTTTTGATTTAATGTCTAACATTTAATCTAGGAAAACGCCCTTATTATTTCTATTTGTAACCGCAAGCTGTTTATTTTAACCATTAAATGCAATGAATATATTATGATTTTCTTTTTTCTTATATTATTTTGGGTGTAAAAGTTAGTTTTGTATTTATTTTCTTTTATTTATTTTGAAATTGAAATTAATATCTTTAGGAAATATAGATTTTGTTGAGATGTTAAGATAATACTACAGCTGTTAAGATTGTATATTTAATTGATAAAATAAATAAGTTTATTTGTTTCAACGAAGTTAGTAAATTTCACTATTTTTCTGTTATTATTTTAATTCTTTTAATTTTAACCTGTTTTCTGTAATTAACTAAGCATTACTTTAACGTTAAAGCATTTTTAAATTTAATTTGAACACTTTCTTCAACTGTTAAAAACAATTAACAGCTTAATCGCAATTGTAACCACAGACGACAACGACACCAAATGTAGATTTATTTGTAATTTCTAAACGGTTGCTCCGATTTAAAAAAAACTATTGCTGAGTTTTGTTTCAACAAAGTTAGTAAACTAACTAACTAACTAACTAACTAACTAACTAACTAACTAACTAACTAACTAACTAACTAACTAACTACTAACTAACTAACTAACTAACTAACTAACTAACTAACTAACTAACTAACTAACTAACTAACTAACTAACTAACTAACTAACTACTAACTAACTAACTAACTAACTAACTAACTAACTAACTAACTAACTAACTAACTAACTAACTAACTAACTAACTAACTAACTAACTAACTAACTAACTAACTAACTAACTAACTAACTAACTAACTAACTAACTACTAACTAACTAACTAACTAACTAACTAACTAACTAACTAACTAACTAACTAACTAACTAACTAACTAACTAACTAACTAACTAACTAACTAACTAACTAACTAACTAACTAACTAACTAACTAACTAACTAACTAACTAACTAACTAACTAACTAACTAACTAACTAACTAACTAACTAACTAACTAACTAACTAACTAACTAACTAACTAACTAACTAACTAACTAACTAACTAACTAACTAACTAACTAACTAACTAACTAACTAACTAACTAACTAACTAACTAACTAACTAACTAACTAACTAACTAACTAACTAACTAACTAACTAACTAACTAACTAACTAACTAACTAACTAACTACTAACTAACTAACTAACTAACTAACTAACTAACTAACTAACTAACTAACTAACTAACTAACTAACTAACTAACTAACTAACTAACTAACTAACTAACTAACTAACTAACTAACCTAACTACTACTAACTAACTAACTAACTAACTAACTAACTAACTACTAACTAACTAACTACTAACTACTAACTAACTAACTAACTAACTAACTAACTAACTAACTAACTACTAACTAACTTTTTCGATTTAAGAGGGGCTAATTTTTTTTACAAAAAAAAATAACTTTTTAATTTAAAACTATTTTAATGCCATTACAAGCGATTTTCTGTTAGCATAATCCTCCGGTTTCAGTTCTAAATCTTACCTGAGCCGCCATTATTCTCTGACGCTCGAAAATCAACACACACTTAGCACAACGACAATTCTTATAAGTACAATGTTTCTTATGACCGCGTAGCTCTGATATCCAGCCGTGATTACGACAGCGGGCACATTTCGGAACACGATTTGTAGACGTTGACTTATTATTAATAGAATCTACCGCTACCAAAGATTTTAAAGATTTGCGTGACTTTTTAGCCACCAAAGTCGTGGACGACTCCTTAGATTCTTTAGAGGTCATTTTTATAAAGCAATAGTAGCGATTAATACCCGTTAAAAGTCACGACGTAACTAAGTTCAAAAGATATTTGAAATTGTTTATTTCAAACGGAAAACACTTGAGAAATGTTACAAGATTGTTTTGCATTAAAATATCTTGTAACTGTCTGTATTTGGATACTATTGCAAGGAAAGGCGCATGATCCACAAAGAAACGTGTCCTGCGAAAATTGTAAGTTTTATTTTGAAACAGTGTTCTTGTATTTTTTCACTGTTACAAAGTTTTTGGTTACATTTTTTGTTATTGGTGTAAAATTGTTAAAAGCTCCTCCTTAACTTGTGGGTGGTGGGTTGGTTTTGGGTTTAAGGGAAGTTTTGCTAGTGAATACGCCATATTTATTTTGGTGGAGAAGGATTTCTAGGAGTTTATGGGAAACATTTTTGTTTTAATAAAATAAATTTGTTTTAAAGAAAAATGTTTATTTTAATAAAAATATTTATTTTAAAGAAAAACATTATTTTATTGAAAATTTTAATTAAAATGAAAATTTTTATATTTATGAATGATTTTAATGTTTTGAAACATTTATGATGAAAATTTTTTATTTTTATGAACAATTTTTATTTTAATAAGAAATTTGGGGAAGAATTTTCATAAATATAAAGATCGATACAATTTTTACAAAAATAGAAAGTTATTTTCTATGGAAAGATTAAAAATTAAAAATGTATCCATTTTACATTTATTACTTACTTTTTAAGCAGTATTCAACAGACTCAAATAATTAATTACCCAGCGGTTGATTAGTTTTTATTTACCAAATAAACGGTTCAAACGAAAATAAATGTCAGTGTTCGGTTGTTAATAATGCAGTTTTCGATAATACCGTATTGCTTAAAATGATATAGCGGTTCACATATAGACAATAATGCAGTAACAAGAGTAAAAAAGTACAACTCTGGTAATAACTATAAGTCGAAATTTGATTAAAAGCTTAAATGTAACGTTTTAAAGCTAAGTTAAATAATTCTAATAAGAAAAAAACAAACTATTAAATATAATAAATGATTATTAAAGTCCTTAAATAAATTTGAAATTTACAAAATTAAAAGGAAAATATGATTTCTTTCTAGAAACATTAAGCTTTTCGTGGTAAGTAAAACAATCTGGCATTACAGTTTAACAAAGCCAGGGTTGATTTTTTAGTATGTAAAAACAAATTACTGTTATAATTTAATATATTTATGATAATGCAAGGTTAATTAACATTTAATAAATATAAAAATATATAAACTTTTAAGAAGTTTAAAGTTATATACAGAGACCTGCGCCGAGCAAATTTGTCGGCGGCGGCGGCTTATGTTGAAAAGTTTCGGCGGCGGCTTTAAGTCGGCTGTGAGCCGATGTTTGTAATTAATTTTATTAAATTCTCTAGATACAAAAATTTTCATGATGATAGTGTTTTACTTTTAAAGCATAAAAAACATTTTTCTGTTTTAAATCGTTTTATTTTTGAAAGTCAAAAATAAATACAAACAAAAAATTCATATTTTATTACATGAGTTTTAATAATATTAATAATAAAAATAAATATATACATACATATGTAGGTATTTTAAATAACAAATGAAAATATTTCATATATTTTTTATAAAAAAATTTGTACTCGAAATTAATTTTTTTAAATTTAAAGATTTTAAAATTTGAATTCATTGTTAAAAAAAATAAACATTTGTATTATTTTATACTAAGCTATTAAATATTTCATAATTGTCATGAATGAAGAGCACCCTGTTTATTGTTAATGGGCTTAAATTTGATCTTTTCGCTGTGACTAATGAGCCAGCACTTGAAAACGCTTCTTCGGATGATGCGCTAGTTGATGGAATGCATAAAATGGATGAGGCTAATTTCGCCACATTGGGAAATTGCTACAAATAATTTGTTATATTATCGAAAAATGTAAACACATTTAAGGTTTCCCTGACATTCATAAAGTTAACAATTGCTTATTAAACATTTTTCCATACAAAATTTATTTTATAAAACATCAACAATTTCAATGTTCATTTTTGAATGCCAGAGATAAAATTTACTATTAAAATATGTATGTTACCTTTTCATTGTTTTGCCACCAAGTAAATGCTTCGCATTCCTCATCATGAGATGAAGCAAAATAATCCTTTATTTCCTTTTCTAAAGGATTTACATCATCTGAAGTAGATGTTTCAGTTATAAATGAAGCAATATTGCTCCGTATTTTTCCTGTCTCTAATTTCTGAAAATTAAAAATTATAAAATTTGCCTTTTTTATTAATTATATGTGTATTACCCTTTTTTTAGCATTTGTTGATGTCGTTGGCATATCGTCATTAATATCTTCACTTGAAAATTTCCGAATTTCCTTTAAAATAAGATCTGTTTTTGATATTCCTCCATTTATATCATCATTATTTAATATTTCGAACAGCGACATTTCCCTGTGAGCGGGAACCTTTTTAAGCCATTTCTCCAGTCTTTTCCAATTTTTTTGTAGGGGATCTAGGAGCGCCGCTACCAAATGAATTTTATAAATTTTAAATCTATTTGAAAAATTTTCTGTGGCAAAGGTATAAATTTTAATCGATTCCTCAAAACTGGCAGATTGCAAATTTTGTTCGATGCTGTCACTTATTTTTTCAAAAAAGACAATATTAGTGTTCACTGTTGGGTACTTACGACCCTGGAGATATTTCGTTGCTTCTTCAAATATCTCAAGAAATTTTAAAAATTCTTCCATAAGACTCTTCTCCATTTCATTTAATATCATTTCGGATTTTCCAATTTCCAATAGGGCTATGTTGACTACTTTGATGTTTCTGTGGAAACTTTTAAACATAGTGCAAAGTGTATTCCACCGAGTATCATTACAATTTTTTAAAGTGCCTGGAGGTTGCGCTCGAAAGAATTTTTCATCGACGTCATCAATGTCCATTAGAAATTGTTGTTCTGTTTCCATTACGTCACACATTTCCGTAGTTTCACTTAGGAGGTTTACAAGTGCCTCATTTTCAAAGGCATTTTGGATTTTGATTATATTATCCGTATTATAATTAAGGCACTTGTAAATCCTCTTTAATTTGCTAACCATATTTGCAAAAACGTAAAAATCATTATTGCATAATATGTCATGCACAATAAACCGATGCAAGGAATGTATTGAACACGGCAACCGGTTCATTTTTGCTAGTTTTAAGGCCGCCACTATGTTGCTTCCTCCATCGCTCACAACTACAATCTCTTTTTTTTCTAGTTCAAAGTTCTTCAAAGTATCATATACATTTTGACAAATTGTTTGTTTATTATGAGGATGGGGAAAAATTTCAGTTTTTAATGAAATACATTTTGTTTCGAAATTTTGGCAAAATAAAATTCGAATGTTTATAAAGCTTCGCCTCTTATAGGAGTCGGTCCACATGTCAAGGACTAGCGAAATGTTTACTGGACATTGATTATTTAAAAATTTGGATATAGTTGTTTTATATGTTCCATAAACATCCTCAAGAGCAGACCGACTTAATGTTGTAGAAGATGGCAATGTCATATTTGGTTTTATCGCCTTAATATAACCAATAAATCCTGGTTGTTCTACTATATTGAACGGCCTTAAGTCTCTGCAGCACATCTGTACAAGCAGACGTGCTTGTACAGATGTGCCAGATTTGTCCAACATTTTTGATTTTCCAGATAAAACGGATTTGGTTTTCGCGTTTGAAGTTTCCGTATTTTTTGATTTCACCTCAATACCGTGTGCACTTCTTAAATGATTGCATAGGTTTGTGGTAGAGGTGGAAACGCCGAATCTGAAATTATTTCGTCTTGATTTAGAAAAAAATCTCATTTGAAATGTAGACAATCTAATTAAATTGGAAATTCTTTAATTCCAATGGTTCCCAGTCACTTTCAAATTTGTATTTTACTTCCTTCCTAGAAATAATACATTTACTCACCCCTTTAGTCGCATGGGAGTCTCATCAAAGCAAACTTTGCATAGTTGGAACTTTTTTAACATAGGCTTGTTCGCAATCACCAATTGACCAAAATAGTGCCAAACCACTGATCCTCCTGAGGATTTCTTTGTTAAAACTATTTTACTTTTTTCTTTTATTTGGTTTTTACTTGATAATATTTTTTCATATTCATTAATATCTTTATCTAATCCATTAAACACAGCCAAGTCGTCATCGGAATCTGATTCTGAATTGGATTCATTTAAAACATTATTATTTTGAAAAAAATTTGTAATTTTTTGGCTCGCCATTTTGGTTTGATTTCTTTTAGCTCATAAAAAAAAATAACGTACAGTTAAAAGTGTTACCCCATTCGCCGAAAACAAAAAAGAGTTTTTAATGTTACCATATTGCAAAAATAAAAAAGTAAAGGTTTTAAGTCTACCCAAGTAAAAATATATAAATATTATATTTTTTAAATTTATTTTTAATAATTTTTAAGCAATATAAAAAAGTAATATTTTCATATTTTTAGTTTTTTATTATTATTACATACATAAAACGGCGGCTGCATTTAAGCCGACTGGAGCCGAAATTTTTTTCGGCGGCGGCGGCTTTTTAAATTTATCGGCGGCTCGGCTTAGCCGGCTGTCAGCCGATCGGCGCAGGTCTCTGGTTATATAATAGAAAAAAGAATAAAAAAGAAAGAAACGAGCTAATGGTAGCAAATATTGCTACTATTATTTACAACTCTGCACACAATAAATAAATTAAGCTCGTTGATATTCATTTACCGACTGCTTTTTCAGTCGGAATTTCATCATCAACTGGATTGCGTGGAAAATGGAGAGGTAGCTAACGAAAAAGCAATTAACAACAGCGAAAAAACGCAAAGAAAACGGCTTTTGTCCGCTACTTTTAGCGAATGTTTTTTTTTAAGTTACAACGCAGAAAAATCCAACAAAAAAACAACCAACGACTACGTCAACCAATCAACCAACTTGTACTCAGCAGCAGCATCAGCAGCTTTTT